CTTCAATTTCTATCTATTAATGGATAAGTTCATACATGTAATATTATTGATAGGACATGTGTAAATGACAACTAGGTACTGTGAAAAATTATATAGAATTAATTCATTAAACCATACTCAGAGCTTTCCTTAAGATAAACCGATGCTAAGTGGAGCTTATCTCTTAAACATAGATTGAAATACCGAAAATTATAATAAAGTTTCACTTAGTCTTAAGCTGAAGATTAAGTAGATATTGAAATACTAGCCCTAAGTGATATTCAGCCATCTGCGCCAATTTGTTTACTGTTTATAAGTAACAAAATTAATCGGTAGACTTCACCTTTCCAAAGTTCCAACAAAGTACATATTCCCATCAGAAAAAATAGTTAAGTTGAAAATTAAAGCATTATTTCAACTGAAAATATGTTTGCAGACAGAAAATGAAAAAAAAAAAAAACAATTATTATTATTTAATACAAATATTAGTAAAATTATATATGCATATTATTATCTTAGTATCATTCATCGCATATAATATATTATATCCGAAACGGCTTGACCGGAACTAAATTATGTTCTAATTATTATCAAATCAAACTATATAAAACAGAAACCCGAGGGCGCTCTCCGTGGCGATTTTTTGTACCATCGTTAGGGAACTTAAAATGAAAAGACTTCGTTTCCCCAATGGGCGTTGCCCCGCCGTCGCTACATTGTGATATTATATTAGCAAAAAAAAGGTATAATACCGAGAACTCGGAGATTGTATTTGTATAGAAAATGTTGTCAGAAAAAAAAGGTATAAAAAAATCTATTTATGGAAATAATTTCAATTTTTTCAGATTTGTCATCTCTACCCTCCCTTTGAGGACTTTCCGAGTCCCGGACCTATAAGTTCCCTCTAAATTTATAGGCCATACTGCCTTCGGGTCAAGTTCCGGGGTGGAGCGGGGTCGAGGAAACAAGATAGCATAAATCGCCGCCGTCGAGTAGGTATTACTCTTTATAGGCATAAATACATGCGTCAGAACGTTTCATTTTTTTTCTTGAATATCGCGTTTTTGACGTTCGAGGTCGGCCGAGTGTGTTGTCTGCTGTCCGACGCGGTAGGATCGCCGGCTACGAAGCCCTTTGATAGACGTCGAAACCGCGTTCGCAATTCGCAGGTACGACGAAATGGCTTAAGACTTAAGAGTCATAGATTTGACTCCAGTTCTCAATTTGGCAGGTAGGTAGGTATATAGCTAGCACGGCCGCAGGAATTTTTTTTCGCGTTTTTCTTTTCGATATTACCTTCAGCCTATCACTTCAGCCATATCATATTTAACCAATATTTTTTTTTTCAAATTTCGAGTTTCACCGTCGAACACTTATTCCCCTCCAAATGTATAAGCCACCCGCGTTAGTACTTCGCTCGCGTCGAGTGTCAGGGCGGAGATCGGAGAGCGGACAGTGTCGTTATTATATACTATATACGGAAACGAAAATATGCGATGAAAATTTCGATTTTTTGATTTAATAAACTGCTTTATTATATTTTATTTTACTGCCTTTTGTCCTTTTTCCCACTAGGTCACGCCGTTTCTTCCTTACATCGGTATTTATATATTTGATTTGGCATAAACATACACGATATAGCCACAGAAATAACAAATTAACACTTGATTTTATTATAAACATATTTTATTATTTATTTTTTATGCAACTCACCTATATTATTTAACATGTGCTCTATTATATGGGATGGTTATTCTATAATTGACTAGACAATAGTAATATAACTAACCTACATGTAAGTATACTAGGTTACTACTTAATATGGTTAAGTTTTTAGGTGAGTCAAATTATGTATATTAATATAAAAAATATATCTTTTATGTATTTAATTGAATTCTGGCAGTTAAATTGTATCTATAATTATATGACATAAATTTGATATTACTCAAAATATAGGTAGGTCTATCATGTATATTTATATGAGTTTCAAATCAATGAAACAAATAGATAATTAATAAATGATGAATAACAAATTGATATATATCATTTACTTAAATATATGATTTATGTATTATATAGATGTATGTATATTGTATACCTACCTAACAGTATAGTTATATAATTTAAGCATATTATATGTATATATACATGAATTAATAGTGAAATTAGTACATATTTTGGTTTATAGGTCTAAAAGTATATACATAAATTACCTACACAAAATATTATAAACATTATATCAGTTAGCATATTATTTTTATTGGACAGTATATACAATATGTTTTTTGTATAGTTTTTGTATAGTTTGCATTGTGTATTGAATAGTATAGTTATAATCAAGGCATATTATGATATTAAGTATGTATATAAATTAATAGCGAAATTAGTGCCTAAGTAAATTTAGTTGCATATAGCTACATATAAGTACTCCAAGGGTACATAACATTGATAGACTGATAGACAGAAACTAGGTAACGAAACAGAGGACTTATTTTGAAATGTTTTAGATGCTGAGTGTACCAATACTAAATGTATTGATTCTACAATGATGTGTGTTTTTTTTTTAATTTTAATTTTATTTGTGTTTGTGTACACGATAAATAGTCAAAATAATGCTTCGATTTTCAACTTTTTGTGTAAAGATAAAATTTAACAAGTTTAATATTGAACAAGTTCGATTGGAAAGTGAATATCGTTGGTGCATTGGGAAGGTAAAAATTTAAAATTCCCAGTAATTTTCAAAAGCGCGAAGAAAAACAAAATAAAAAAGGTGCTCTGCTGTACAGAAGGTTATAACTGGGTCACTGTAAAATGGATGGTATTAAATTTGAATTCAATGATATAATATCGTTGTATAAAAAAACGATTCTGAGCGGAGACGGTTTGTCAATCTAATTTTAAGACATATTATATACATATCTATGGTATTAAAAAAAAGTTGACCTGAATTAGGTACCTACCTATAATAAATTCCAAATTAATCATATCACAGTATCCATTAGGTACTTATAACGCGTTATACATCAACAACAAACCCTGATACTATCATAGATATATGATAGTGTACTTTAGAAGTTTCAAGTACCCATGAATAATGTTATACACTCACAACAAAATAATTAAAATAGTTATTCTATGTTTTTTATTATGTAATTTCGTCCATATTTGAACTTAAAAAGACTATAAAAATAAAATTTACTTATGTATTTTTTAGATTTTTTGGTAACAAAATCAACTTCTTACGTGGAATCTTGTTTTAAAATTTTCAATCCTTAGATATAAAAGTTGAACATTTTGTACATTTTTAAATACAAAATAATTATTCAATTTTAAATTTGATAAATTTTGTCAAAATTCGATCTTTAAATGCTTATAAAAAAAATTGTGCCTATGTATTTTAAATATTTATCAGCTGATATTGTAACAATATATCAGGAGCTTTCTATTACATTTTCAAGTGTTTCTACTCAACAAATAAAATTTTATTGATATTCATAAAAAAAAAAAAAAATTAATAAAATTGGAAACTGAAAATGTCCGTAAAAAGCTCAAAATAAATCAAAATATTTTGAAAATGTTATCGTGTATATTAAATGCTAATATAAACATTCAGTGAAAATTGCATGTATCTACGGTCATTTGTTTGAAAGTTGAACCAAAAACCAAATTCGATTTTGAGTACAAATTCCCGTTTTTCCTTAAATGTTTAGATTCTGAGTGGAACGATGAATGTATTGATTTTACAATGATGTGTGTTTTATTTTTATTTTTATTTTTTTTGTGTCTGTCATCACGTTTTAGGACACTAAAAGTTCTTGGATTTTCTTTAACAGTATCTTATCTGATAGGAAAGTGAATCTAGTTGGTACTTTGGGGTGTCAAAAGTGAAAATTTCTCAGTAGTTTCAAAAGCAAAGTGAAAAACAAAAGAAAAATTAAGGAATAACGGGAATTTTTACCCAAAATCTGTTTTCGAGAAAATCGATTTTGTTTTTGGTGCAACTCTTAAACAAATTACCGTTGGTAGATAACATTTTGACTGAATGTTTATATTAGCATTTTCTATAAACCATAACATTTTCCAAATATTTTGATTTATTTTGAGCTCTTAAGGGACATTTTCAGTTTAATTTTTTTTTAGTTTTTTTTCTAAAATTTTTTGTTAAAAAAGCTTGAAAAATTAATAATAGAAGGCTCATAGTATATTGTTTCAAAGGCAGATGAAAAAAATTAAAATTCCTTAGACACAATTTTTTTTAAAAGCATTTATAGTTAAAATATTGACAAAATACGTCAAACTTACGAAAATTTGAAAATTATTTTGAGTTAGAAATTCATAAATAATTTTCTTTTTAAATCTAAGATTTGAAAATGTAATACAAGATTACTCATAAGTTTGTCTACCTTTATCAATAAAAAATCTGTACCGGAGAGTCAAATTAAATTTATATGAGCGTTTGAAATTCAAATTTTTACAACATTGGATATTCACTCGATTTCTCATGTAGCGATTTCCTTATTTTGTTGTAATTCAAAAACAAATAACTGTAGGTACATGAACATTTCACTGAATGTTCATATTATTCTAAAATATTCGATAGATTCCTATTACGTCACACGATATCTCCGGATATCCTCAGTATTCGTTAAAAAAACCACATAGACTATTAAAATAAAATGTTTGTTGACCTACATATTACTTTTATATTTTTACGATGTTAATATAATGTATAAAAATTCTACGCAAAAATAAATTTGTTAAAAACATATTATAATATTGAATGTCTTGAAAATAAAATAATTTTTTTCGTATATCCTATATTTTTCGCATTTCCTATACACCATACAATTTAATAATAAAATATTTTGACGCTTTTTGAGCTGTTAACGGATATTTTAAGTTTTAAATTATTTTATTTTTTTATTCTATAAATATCAATAAAGTTTTATCTGTTGGGCTAAAAAGTGTAAAAATTTAATACAAGGCTCCTGATATATTGTTACAATATCAGTTGAAAAATGTTAAAAATACATAGGCACATTTTTTTTTTTATAAGCATTTAGAGATCGAATTTTGACAAAATTTTGCCTCATGTCATAAGGTAAACTGGATTGAGTGAGTCGACCACCAACGCGTAAGACCCCTGCTATGTCAAGGAAGGGGTGTAGACTGACCAGAGTACTGGATGACTTGACAGGGAGACCCAGTTGCAGCTGATGGATGTCGAGTGGAAAGCATTCCTGTTGTACTAACCGGATCCATTTTAAGTTGGCTGATCGCCATTCACACACAGTTGGTAATCCAGTTAAGCGAAGATCTACAGGTCTTTGGAAGTTGTGGCAAAATCGTAAAATGTAACAAGTGATGTGTAATAACTTACTCAAATCCGAATACTTAGCTAGAAAGTTGGAGTTAAACGCGTCAGGTGTGGTTACATGTGGCTTACGTTCCTCTTGGAGAGTTTGATTATGATTCTCACCTTCAAACTTAGACCGTGGCCATGGATTGGGGGGTAATAGCCTTTGTGGACCATGCCACCACAAGGCATTCATAATGAGTTGATCACCTGACAGGCCCCTGGAGGCCAGGTCAGCAGGATTGTCTTGAGATGAGACCTGCCGCCACACCGAGCGTGCCGAGAGGTGCGACTCTGGTCTTAGACAGAACTAAATTTGATGATGATCGGCCGTCAGGAAACACCGACACTAGGTAAAGAACATCAGCATAAGCCTGTTCCGAACTGTAACTGTAACCGTGCAGACTATATGTGGTTACCTGAGTGTGTTCGTCATTGAAATGCCGTGGTAATTCAAAGGAGCGAAGAGCACTGTAGGAAGATCGATGATCCGACCACCATTTGATCAGTGTGTCAGGCAGCGGGTCGTCCCAATCCAACTTGTTCTTCCACAGGTGTTGCATAATGATCTTCACCACGATCACCAGTGGGCTTAACCAGCCACACGGATCAAAAATCCTTCCAATTTCCTAAAGTAATAAACGTTTAGTAAATGTTTCACCAACCTTGGAAGATTGAACATGAAATGAGAACGTATCTTGTTGAGCATTCTAAGATATACCCAATATTTTGACTGACGGATCCATGTGATCGATCAGCGTTAGTTGAGTAAATAAAATAAAAAATAAAAACAAACACACATCATTGTAAAATCAATACATTTATTGTTCCACTCAGAATCTAAAATGATACGTTTAAATTCTGATGTTATTATATGTATATGTTATATTTTTTAGCCTTTGTTCATATTAGATTCTGAGTGAAACGATGAATGTATTGATTTTACAATGATGTGTGTTTTTTTATTTTTTTATTTTATTTGTGTCTGTGTACACGATAAGTAGTCGAAATAATGCTTCCATTTTCGACTTCAGTATCTTGTTCGATTGGAAAGTGAATATCGTTGGTGCATTGGGGAGGTCAAAATTTAAAATTCCCAGTACTTTTCAAAAGCGCCAAGAAAAACAAAAGAAAAATTAAGGTAAAACGGGAATTTTTACGCAAAATTGATTTTTCACAAAATCGAATTTGGTTTTTGGTGTAACTTTAAAACAAATGACCATTGGTACATGAAATTTTTTAATGGTTGTTTATATTAATTGAATTTTCTGTACATGATAACATTTTCAAAATATTTTGATTTATTTTGAACTGTTTAGGGACATTATTTTTGGTGTCTGAAAAAATGTGTACCTAAACGTGTTATTTGTATCCAAAATCGTTTACTCAATTCCAATGTAAAAATATATTTTTTAACGTTTATTTTTACAATTAATCAGTAGGTATATAACATTATAACTGTTGAAAAATTGCCATAGATTTGCTCTTTTAATGTTATAACAGAGCTTGCATACGTTATAATAACGTTATATTTGACATAAACAATTGAAACTTGTAAACTTAATTATAACAGAAAGCGATAATCAAATATAACTAAATACCGTAAAACAACACATAACGATTACCTACCCTCATTAGTTATTATTTTTAAATTGAATAGTCATAGGAAGTGTCACTACTGGGTGGCTTCTTCCAACAACTCATTCACACCTTTTGTAAATTAGCCCATATCCTTATTGTGTCTCTGGGTACAGATGGTATATTTCTTTTAAAAAATAAAATAAAAAAAAAAAATTGAATAGTTATTAACACTATTTTAAATAACGGTATACGCAAGACTTGTATAACGTTTAAATTCTAAATAACGATAAACTCAAAAATTGTTTACCTTATGTAAGTAAATAACATAAAGTTAATTTTTTTTTCAAATGCAAGCCCTGTGTTATAATGTTACTCTTAGTTTTGTGCGTTTATCAGTTTATAGAACAGTTGAAATTTTTTTTTTGGTTTGCTCCCACTTTTCCATTTCAAAATCTTGGCTAATCCACTTTTAACAATATAAATATAATATAACAAACTACACTGGCAAACCGTCACCTCTCAGAATCGTTTTTCATATACAATGAAATTACATCATTGCATTCAAATTTAATACTATCCATTATACAGTGACCCACCTGTAATCTACTGTACAACAGATCGACATGGACTTGCCCACGTTTTTTTCCAGGAGCAATATTTGACCACCCGAATACACCAACTAGATTCACTTTTCCACCGGAAAGGATACTGATGTTAAAAATCGAAGCATTATTTCGACTACTTATACACAACACGTGTTCACAGTTATAAATTTAAAAACACAACATTGAAAAATTGAGCTGTTTACGAACATTTTTAGTTTCCAACTTTTACAAATGCCTTTTTATAGAAAATATCAATAAAATAATTATATTCGTTGGGTCCATAGGCTTGCAAGTTGAATAAAAGGCTCCAAATATAATTTTACAATGACAGTTGAGAAAATATTAAAAATACGTAACATTTTCAACTTTTATAGCAAAGGATTGAATATTTAAAACAAGGTTCCACGTAATTAGGTTATTCTATAGCTATAAAATCTTAAAAATATTAACATAGTTATTTTTAGAGTTATTTTAAGTTCAAATTAGGACAAAATTACATATTAAGTAACAAAATTAACGATTTTATTTATTTTTTTGTAATTTAAAAATATTATTCGTAGGTTTTTGAAACTTATATTTACCAATATTATTATATTTTATACACACACTTTAGAATGCATTTTTTTTCGACAAAAATCAAATTAACCTATTGTAGTAATAATGCCTAATAGTAAAATAAATTACTTTAAAACAATATAATATTATCAAATATGCTTAGTAATAAATTATAGGCTACATTCAGAAAATTAAATTTTTTTACTAAACGGATAAAATGTCTCCAAAAGGATGTAACTACCCACAGTTAATCAAAATCTTTGTTATGGTTAGGTATATGTTCTTAACCTTTTTTTTAGTTTTTTATTCAGTTTTTTTACAAGAAATTGAATATGGAAGAATCTCAGAGTTTAACAAAAACTAAAATTTGAGTACCGGGTAATATTTACCAATTGAAGGATCGTGTGACATGTCTTGCCACGATGCATTGAATATACTTAAACAGCCCGTCGTGGATGATAGTATGAAAAGTGATCGATTTTGAACCTTTATAAACAGTACTTATATTTGTGTACTGGTTGTGGGTGCGGAACTTCAATTGTGGACGGACTCCATTGGAGTAAAAATGGAAAGAAAATGCTACCAATATTCCTCCTCTAATTGTGTGCAGATATTTCTCTACCTGGTCGTTATGAAAAAGTCATTTTCATTACTCTTTTACCCTAGAAAAAGGATTCAAAATATAATGTTGTAGTATATAATTCAATAAAGCTTGAAAATAAAACACGTGTTATAAGTTTGAATGAGGGTAAAATAGACAATTTTATTACTGACCCTTCAATCATACCAAATTCGGAATTAAATATTTTGACTTAAATAGCTTTAATGAGGATGTTTATTGAAAATACTAAAGCGGGATCGGAAATCGAAATCTTTTCCTCATTACGACAATAATAGAGTAGGACCAGCAATCATTCAAGTACACCATTGGAATATTTATTAAAATATTGTGCTTAATATTTCTAAAAATGAAACATTTTGTTTGGTGATATCTGTTTATCGAAAACTTTTATAAAAATGAAAAAAAAAACCGGAAGATTGGAAGGCCGATCATTACGCTTGGGAATGGTTTTCGGGAGATTATTTACACCGACGAATTTCGAAGATATTCAAAGAATAAAACTTTAACAAAAAGCAATATTAGGTACAAACTATATATATTTATAGGTATATTATCATAATAATATATGATTTTATATAAGATAAGAAACCAAATATTATGAATTTGCATCTTAGTAATTTATATTTTAATAGTATATTATTTGTACATGTACTAATCTATTTAGAAGTTTCTATCATATCGCAATGGTCAAATACATTGACTCGAAAAGTTCAACACCTCCTACTCCCTTCACAAACTTTGCTTAAAGGGAGTAGGCATCGACATAATATGGACAATTATAAATATTATGTATGACGTATGTGTATGTATATCATAAGTTGAAATAAATAAATATAAAATGTAAAATATAATTTTATTTTATATCATGATTTGAAACAACATTCTTATGTTAATGGTTTTTTTTTAAAAGAATAGGTACATTCATTAACTATTGTTTGATAATTACTTGTATTATTTAACGTACCTATCGATCGTTGGAAATATTTTTATTTTACAATATTTAAAACTCTTCTCTATATATTTCCCAATGTAACATCAAATAATTATTCAATTAATAAAGAAAAAACTGTAAAAAAAAGTTAATAGTTATTACAGGCCGTTACACACTTTTTAATTTCATATTCCTCACTTAGCATTTCGTATTACACACAATGTTAGTCCCTGGTGCTAAGTGGGTACTTGCCAACCTTTTTAATATTTATATTATATTATATCACACTATTATTGTTTTGGAATAGAATATTCCCATTTACGATAGTATATCCTCATACAGTCTTCACCAAATAGAGAATAAACCGCTTTTTATTATTACTTATTAATAATATGCCATTATATTTTCATATTATTTCATAATATTCATTCGCTCATTTCATTACAGCAATAACTCGGCCAGTCAAGGGCACTATGCTATGAGACTGTGAGGAAAAAAAATTTTGAGTCGGAAAAGCAGTGAAAAGTTGCCCTAGTCTAATAAATCTGAAATTACGTCACTGGCCCAACTGCATTGTTTTTCGTCCTTTGCCTATGCCCTATAGGCTATAACATATTCATGTATAATATAAATATCGATATACGCAACGATGGTAGTTAGGTTTCTGGTATAATATATTATATGCGATGAATGATACTAAGATAATAATATGCATATATAATTTTACTAATATTTGTATTTAATAATAAAAATTGTTTTTTTTTTTTTCATTTTCTGTCTGCAAACATATTTTCTGTTGAAATAATGCTTTGATTTTCAACTTAACCATCTTTTCTAATGTGAATATGTACTTTGTTGGAACTTTGGAAAGGTGAAGTCTACCGATTAATTTTGTTACTTATAAACAGTAAATACATTGACGCAGATGGCTGGATATTTCAATATCTACTTAATCTTCAGCTTAAGGCTAAGTGAAACTTTATTATAATCTTCGATATTTCAATCTATGTTTAAGAGATATAGTCTACTTAGCATCGGTTTATCTTAAGGAACGCTCTAAGTATGGTTTAATGAACTAATTCTATATAATTTTTCACAGTACCTAGTTATCATTTACACATGTCCTATCAATACATTAATTTATTCATTAATAGATAGAAATTGAAGAAGCCATTAATTTTGTAAATAATGTTCCTCATAACATGGTACACAATCGTATTAATAATATAATAATAATAACATTAGGAATTCATATTCATATATGCATTA